ATAATAGTTCCCGCTGCTTCTTCGGGAAACAGCGCCAACAAAAACAAAGAAACTTGGGATCTTGTCGGCGTGGCGGTGGGATTTAAGGGAAACGCTGTATGCCCCAAGGGCTTCAGTTTGTTTTCAGAATTGCTGGGGACACTAACCATACACTTGAGTGGGGTTTAAAAATTGCTGGGGACAATATAGGCTAGCACAGGGGTCGGCGGCTCTGTAGCCGCATGCGGCTCTTCCATCCATCTGATGCTCTGTGCTTGTAAAATAATGAATGGATATTTAAATAAAAAGCTTTATATTTTACTGCATTAATTTTACATCTGTATGCTAATTCTAAATTTAAAGATTGTCTGCGTAAACCTGAACAGTTCCAACCCGGTCTTACTGTGAGACCGGCTTGACGCGTCACGCTTGTGCGTAATCATATGCGCTTCCTGAGCTGGAGGATGTCAGATTCTGGGATTCTCCTCAGACGGCTCCTGGATGTGTCGCCACATTGGAGACAGGAACAAGCACTATTCAGCCAAAGTTTCATAATCAGGGAACATTTTCTAAGTGACAAGTCTCTCTGAGAGACAGGGTTTGGAAAACACTCGCTTCAGTGGGAGGAATCTTCTCACATGCGCTCTGGTTCTGAGAGCCTGGATTTGTATTCTGAACAGTCTAAACATGTTTTTAAAAGAAACGTAAGACAAAAGTGGCACCTGCTCAGTAAAACCACCAACAGGGTGAAAAATATCAAAATATTGTAGGCAGAGACGGGCTACAACTTCTGGATCATCTTTATATAAATCGTTTTATTGATTATCTTCTCATGAAAGATAACTTTGATGTACACGAGCGACCAGGCGCGTTGCAAGATTTTCAAAAGTGTGGGGGATGTTGTCTGTGCCTAAAATAATTTGATGTTATTCACCTTGTTAGTTTAATTTCCATAATAGCGGAGCAGGTGCGAATTTTAGACGCGTCACGCACGTCTCCGTTTTAAACATGTTTAAACTGTTCAGAATACAAATCCAGGCTCTGTCTCGTTAGATTGGTGTAACTAAAGTTTGTACTGAATGAAACTACATTAAACCATGTTGAAGAGAAAAGGATCCGATTAAATCATTTCCCCTCATTTACAGTCACAACGTACAGCGCAGTGCGCATGGCTCTGGGGTTAATCAAGTTTAGTTGTTTCTCTTTGCAACAATCTTCACAAGAAGGCAAAACAGTTAAATGGCAGGTTACAGATATTTATATTAGACTTTTATTTTGACGGATAAACTCAAGGATGCTGGCTGTTTTGAAAGAATTACCCCGACGCACACTGATGCGCATGGATGAGCTTGGAAAAATGTTCTTTTTATGAAATTATGAAACTTTGGCTGAACAGCGCTTTTTCCCGTCTCTAATATGGAGACGCATGACGCATCCAGTCTGAGGCAGAATAGCAACGCAGAAAGCTCCTGTAGAGACATTTGATCACGCACAAAGTTTATGTGGAGCAGAAGCAGTCAGGCCACGGCAGGTGAAACGTTCCTAGCCTACATGAAGTGAAACTGTTTAATTGTAACATTAATATGTTACTGGACACGCTGGTCTGGTTGGTTAGACCATTGGAAGTGGAAAACACACACACACACACACACACACACCAATTAAAATAATGCTGATAGCATGGACTAGAAGACAGGTGATGGTTATATTTAAATGATGATCAGGCTGCTGTAAAATATAATCTCCATCCACATCCAGACAGAATAATCCTCTATTCTATTTGCTCTGCTCTTGTCTGGACTGATGTAGCTGACGGTGCGCGCGGGGCGCCTAATGGCTGTGGTGCACATTTTACGCATTTGGAGAGATGGGCTGGATCCTTTGCTTTCACTGGAAGATGGTCCACTTAACGCACGGGTGTAGACTACATATTAATGACAAATGAATGAAAATTAAATTGGGAGTTTTTACTTCATATTTTAGAAATTAAAATGACGGGGGAACACATTTATGACGTCTTTTTATACTAAATTTTCTAGCGCGACCTGCCTGCTTCACTTAAGTCACTGCTTATTAAGGTCCGTCCAAAATTACCGTGGCCCACCCAAAAATGAAAACCTGGCGCCGCGCCAGTTATAAACCTCTGCAAATTGTTGTTCTTCACTTTATCAAACTTAGACTTTGTACAGCTAATGTCAAGATGTAAAATTATGAATTCAGTCGAGCTCTTCCGTCCCTCCCTCTCCTGCTCTCCTGGAAACCCGACATCGGCTGTCAGAAGCGGAGGTGAAGAAGGAGATGAGGCAAACAGAGAGAGTGCGACATAAAGAAACCAGACTGGTGTGGAGGTGAGCAAAACAGCTGGAAAAGTGTGGGCGTTGAATCCCCCACGGGTGCGATGTCCATGCGAGCGACCTGTACCTGCTGCTGTCACCTGGTTGTGAGCAGCCCTCTGCTGTCTGAGGGTAGGCCCCGCCCACAACGCTGCGGCTACTGCGGTGTTGTCTTTACTGTGGGAAACGGGTAATAATGGCTCTTTGATGGGAACAGGTTGCCGACCCCTGAGCTGGTAAAACAAAAATCCTCATCAGCAGGCTTTTTTGAAAGTGGGGGGGACACAGCTGCCAATCACAAATTTTGCCGGGGACATGTCCCCGGCGTCCCCGGTTAAACTGACGCCTATGGTATGCCCTATAGACTTCTCACCGAGCTGCAGTATTTCTCCGGTCAGATCTGTCTCCGAGTCCGAGAGCTCCACGAGCGGTCAGCCTGCAGCAGCTAAGCGCCGCATCGGTCAGGCTGCCCTGCCTGACCGCTGGGGAGTACCGGATGAAAGAATGGAGCACAGAAGTGTCCCTCCAAGCGCTCCGTCATATTTCAACCCATTTTTATCTTAAATGCACTGGGTTTTACCCTTTTACCCATCGAAATATGCCCTATTAATTATGTTACCGTATTTTACATTTAAATTTCATGGTTAAACAGTACATGCTACATGTTAAACTGATAGTTAGCTAGCTACTTCGGTAAACTCAGCTAGTTTAAAGGCGGCAGTGACATAAAATACAAATATAGATTTTAACTTACCGAAAAAAATGAAGTGGAGACTCCTTGGACGCTCTATTAGTGCAATTAATACCACAGCAAGTCATTTTGTCCAACAATTGCACAAATAATATCCAAAACAGAATTCACAAGCACAGAGACTCAAAATCCCCACACAGTTCCCAGGAGAGACCGAGGCTGTACTGAGGCCTTTCCACGGAGCTAGCTCTGTGGTCACGTGGGTTTGATGCTCATTAATTATACAGAATTTTAGGCTTTCAATACACTTAAACAGAAGAGTGAGAGAAAAATGTATCCTCCTCAGAGTTGTCATGAGTATAAACTAGATAGTTTAGACAAAAAACGTGTTTTGGTACCAGGATGTAAACATGTTTATTTCTGCTGTGAAATTGGCATTTTTAACATGGGAGTCAATGAGGATTTGCTCGCTTCTGACACCAGCCCCTAGTGGATGAGGGTGGAACTGCAATTATTCTTACTTCCGGGTTGGGACAATTTTTAGAGCCGCATTGTGGGGGCTTGTAAAATTATTAAAAACTCAAAGAGTACTGAGAATGTTACCACCAGATGTCCCTATTCACCTTTTCTCTGCTCTTAACAGAAAGCCTTCTAGTCATTGTTTTCTGTTATGTTCATATGACTGAACACTGTTTATTCTCTTTATGCAAGGCGGGACATTTGTCATTAAAATACATTAGTTTGAGATGGTGAGAGAGTGAGTTATACAAACAAGTGCAGTGATGTTTAGATAAGAGGTTAAAATGTAAAAACAGGTGATTTAGTGATGAAAAGAAAAACAAGGAATTTTCCATTGTGTCTGGTGAGGGATGCTGCTTCTGGCACTTCATCACATGTTATTAAAGGTTCAGTTCACGCCCTTTTACAACGCTACGGGTCGCGTTCAGGTGCGCCTCGGAAATTAGGGCTCTGAATGTCCCATTGAAACATCTGAATCAAATGGTTTTCCATCATTAGAAAAGTTTATTTTATGTGTTGATTGTGTTGTTGCCATATTTGCTCGTTTTTTGTTATTTAAGTTGTTTGAGAGCAACTCAAACATATTTTGCTTCATAAAACTTTAATGGCCTATTACCTTTCAAAAGTACAATTTTAAACCAAACAAATTGTGTAAAACTATATGAATAAACAAAGTGAGAACAAAAAGATTTTTTTATAATCTTAAAATATCATAAAAATGAGAAAAGTAATAAATTGTGATTAAAAATGTAAGAAAGGAGAAAACAAAATAAATAAGAAAGTAGTATCAATGGATCCTGGGAAAGGCGGAATTGGTTGAAAGAGCCGAATGAGGAGAAGGTAGTGAAACGAAGATCACACCAAAACCGGCCTGATCAGGTGAGTCTTCAGCTGCTTTTTAAAGGAGGCCACTGAGTCCACTGATCTCAGGCTCAGGGGGAGAGAGCTCCAGAGTCTGGGGGCCACAGCAGCAAATGATCTGTCACCTGTGGTCTTACCAACATTGTTACGAAATTGGAGAAAACAGAAAATTGTTTTTTTTTAAATATTTTAATAGATGCACCAAAACCAACTTAGCTTAATCAACAATCAGTCAGAAAGCAGTTGTTCAAAAATGGATATTTTTCTTTCTTTGATTTGTTGAATTTGCCATAACCAAAAACAATACAATGTCTAACACTTAATGAAAAATCACCAACCTGATTTTTTCATAGGCAGTTTATTTGTTATTAATAACACATAAACAAACAAATACCACTGTTAAAATGGTTCAATGATTCATTCTTACATCTTGTAATTTTCGTGAAAGGATGTTTCACAGAACTTTACACTGAACTAAATGTCCTTCACTGAAAGACAAAAATTAAAAATGACTTTGGATGTTAGTTGTTAACGATTAACCCGTTAAACGAGTCGTACATTGACGTCGACGTTGTTGACGTGTTTTCTTGAAATTTCCTAATTTCCCATGCGTCCATGAAGGCGTCGCCCCCCTGCTTGTTCCAGCAGCGGAACTGCAGTCCGAGCATGGCGCTCTGCTCCGAGAGCTCGGAGTTCCGTTGTCTCCTCTGTCCTCTTCCATGTTAGATTTAACTTTTCTATCGGAAGCTGGTCCGCTTATTCCTTTCGTCGAACGCCTTTGAGGAAATTTTATGTCGGGAAAAGGGCGGGATTTCTGGTCATAAACACTCAAATAACTGGCTAAAATCTTTGGGGTAGGTTGCTAAGTTAACGTTAGCAAGTAGGTAGAAACTGGGAGAAACAAGAGGAGGAGTCGTGTTTCTGGAAGAGGTAAGCTAATGTTTAAAGTCGCCACAAGTGTTTTAAATTAGTTGGCTCCGGTTGAAGCGGTTGTTTTGACGTGCGTGTTTTAAAAAAACTCGTGTAAGTACTAGTTTTTGTTAAAGAGACAGCATTAACGTGAATATGTGATATTTTGAAATATTTAACTACAGGCTTTTAATTTTTAGTCAACATTTGTTGTATAACAGAGCAGACTTTACGCTTTTAAGTCGCACGATAAACAAATGAAATAAAACGTTGTTTTACGTTATTTTGTGTTTACCCGGTGTAACGTTAAGTATTCATGAGCAACGATGATGGATTGTGTTTATTTCCCCTAAAATATATTCATATAACCTTAGGAACAGTTTAAGTTTTAGGTCGCCGGTTAGAATGTGTTCTTTTTCGGTTTAAAAGAAAAATGTGAGTATTTGAGTCCTGCAGCAGCAGCGTGGCTGTTTAAAGGGAACTAGATCACAATTATCAGGTGCAATCATCCTGTAAACTCAATTAGATTAACTCCAGTCCAGTAAACGTCTTAAACAATGAAACATTTCAGGGTTTTTGTTTTGTGAGTGGTAATGATCTGTAACACTGATAGCAGTGACCAGAGATTAACCCGGAAACACCACACCATATGTCATGGCTGCTGTATGGATACTATGACCTATTTTTTTGTGCACAGCTGATAAACTTTCATTCTTTGCTCTTTTTTTATAGCTGACGAAAATGCCATGGCAATAGGCGAGGAATGGGAGTGACGTGACAGTCTTCTGATCCACTTCTGAACAATAAAACTTCACCACCATGGTTTTGTGAAGGAGGACGCACAAGAGAATGGATGAGTCAGTTTTGTTGGATCTGCTTGAGTGTCCCGTGTGTCTGGAGCGTTTGGATGCCTCTGCGAAGGTTCTGCCCTGTCAGCATACCTTCTGCCGTCGATGTCTTCAGGGCATCTTAGGCTCTCGTGGAGAGCTGCGCTGCCCCGAGTGCCGGACTTTGGTGGAGTGTGCTGTTGATGAACTCCCAAGCAACATCCTCCTGGTGCGCTTGTTGGATGGCATCAAGCAGAGACCTCGAAGGGCCGGCTCGGGGGCTGGAGTGTGTACGAACGGCATGTCTGGAGCTGTGGCCAGAGCACATGGAGGTGGAACCAGGGACCAGGGAACTCCAGGGCCACAGCGTGCCCAGGCTAAGAGCACAGCAGTCCGGGTTAGTAATTTGTGACTAACTTAACAGGCATAACAGAGCTCCAGTATGCCTTTCACGCTGTTGGGGTCAAGCTGAAACAAAACAGAGAAAATCTATGTGGATTAAAAGCAACTTGTTGTCTCTAATCTTTGCTGCAGATTATTGGTTGTCATTGTGATCCTTGTGTCAGCCAGTTGACTAGCAGCCCGACATCACCACGGCCTGAGATTTAGAGCCCTTAATAGTTTAGCCACCAAAGAATTCCTTTTCCTGCCGATGGCAGCCAGGATTTTCCTCGTTACCATTAGCTGCCTTCTAGTTGCTGACCAAGCGATAGTCTCTTCTGCACTAGAGATCTCTGCTTCACAACCTGTGTAGTTCAGGGTGGGACTGCAGTGTGTTTAATCTTCAGAACTAAGAAGTCTTTAAAGAATATTTGGAGGAGTCGTAGATTTGAGAAGTGATTGAATTTTTGAAGTTGTTTCTTTTGCAGGAATATAAAAACGGACGTGAAGCAAAAAGGCACAACGATGTTTGTTTTTGTTTCGTTGTGTGGACGTTTAAATCCAGCTTATTATCCATGTCTTGCATAAGTTCATCTCAAATACCTTTTTGTAGGCTGTCTGTACAACTTTGCCCAGACTGTTTGTATAAAACTAGCATGCGTAACATGAAAGGCTTTTCTTCTTAAAATGTATGTAAATCATAATGACTTAATGCTTCAGATATCACATTTCTTAAGATTACGAGCTGCAATTATGCTCAAATCACACTTAATGTGAGGGGCGGGGAAATAAAAAGGGCCATGGACCTGTGGGCCCTTCTTGTTCTGGACCCCACCAGAGCGGTAGTGGGTAGATGAAAAGATATCAGGGTCTTGTGCATGTAGACCATTGGAATTTCAAAATGCTGATGATGTGTCTGCCTAGCCATGCAGGTATGAGGATCAGAGACCGTCCTGTAAATTACTACTGGGGGACCTGCCTCATTTGCCAAAGTATCACTTCTAAGGATTCGTGTTCGTTTCAAAGCAACGTTCAGGAACCCCCCCCTTCATGTTTGTGGGAAATGGAGGTTGTCATTATTTCACGTTTCATGTTAGCGTACACATGGAGGGCGTGTACTCTTCTGGGGACACATTGTTAAAAGAAAAGTGTTATTTTTCTTTCATGTCCAGTAAATATTGGGAGTTTTGTGCTGCTGATTAGCCCTCTTGTCTGTTCTGCTGTGTTGGGCGTTCTGTTGATGACGGAGAACAAGAAAAGACGCGGCCGTGCAGGTGTAAAATCTCCAGAACATAAAAGACGGAGATCAAAGCTCTGACAGATCGCCCAGCCTGATCTCTGGTCAGTGCTCTTTAGGGACTGAACGCTCCACCGCTCCTGGGTGACACCCTCAGACCCAGTTCTTTTTTGTTCCCCGTCTGTCCCTTTTTGGGGGGAAGTGAGGGGGGTTATCTTTTAAAGCTTGAGGCTGCTCCTTTGGTACTATTCTACCGTTAAAGCGGAGCTCAACCTCCAACGCTTGTACGACCAGATAATGGCTGGGAGGGCAGAATGGTGGGGACCGGCTGACAGAAGTTCAACAGGGTTTTGTTTCGGGCTCCCTCTGATCCTACAGACCGGCCGACACGTGTAGAAGGGCCAAGAAGGACCTTGTGAATGTGGATGACCACCAGTAACAGAAACGGTAACAGATGGGTGGTAAACGAAGGCACCAAAAGGGACAAATGTTTAGGGAGTAACTTTGCCCAGTCCCTCCTCCCCATCATCTCCGGGACCGCGGAGTGTGTTTGACGCAGCGCTCTGGCATGTTTCGTCTTGAAAGAGAATCAGGAGACATGTCTTTACTGTAGAACTGCAGTTGTGTGTGACTCACCTCTAGTGGTGTTTTGTTTCATGGATGTTTTGTCTTCCTCTGGCCCTTGTTGACTCATTAAACACACAGCTTGAAAACAGATAGCTCAGAGATATTTCTGCGTGAGAGGGAGATGGCCGTTGGAGCTGTCAGGAAGTCAGAGGTCACAGTTCAGGGGTCACAGCCAGCTGGGGGAATGTTCAGCGAGCTGGAGAGTAGAGTAGATGTCCTTAGTTTTTATTGTAGGTCTCTAGAGAGTTGACCCTGAAGGCCCATCACAAAAGCAGAACATCAGAGGGGCTGTTTTTACTGGAACAGCACAGGTTTAGGAAAACATGCAGCTGCAAATTTCAGAGGACTTGATGTCTTAAGGTGCTAACAACAACACGTTAGCCATGGCCACTCAGACTAGCTGTTAGCTCATCAGTCCTGTAGGACGTAAACTCTAATTCTCCAGGCTGAGGCTATTTAGCAGCCTATCCAAGGGTGAGATTGTAATTATTACTTCTACAGAAACACACTTCTTACGTGCCAAACCGTCCCTTTTAAGTTTTATTTGTTGTTGTTAACCTGCTTTAGTTTTAGTTAAAACTGGTGTTCCAGTCTCGGATGTTGGCTCATGTCTGCCTTTGTGTTCTTAGCTGATGTGTAACAACACACTCTTCTTTTTAACTGTTGGAGGATATTTTAGACCATTGTCTCCTAGCAGAGGCTTTATTTTATCTTTTGTAAGCATCTTTCCATTTGAGAGTCTTCTCTTTCTTACATCCTTTGTTCAAATAATACAGCGTGGTAATTTGACGTTGCTTTCTAGTCAACAACGGAAACTCGAGTTTTCCGTGTCGCTACAGAGGTCATTGTTTTCCATTGCTACTTGTTCTCCTGTACAGAAAACCGTGCTTGTTTTCAGATTCTCATGTGGAGTGATTGTTAAAATTCCTGTGTACCTCCTGTGTCTGAGGTCGATGAGTAATGCTGGCGGTCTTTGATGACATCAGATTGTTGTTGAAGTCTTGATTTTTTTTGCCGTGTCCTGACCTCCGCCTGTATGACAGAGCCCCGTCATTACACCCTCTCACTGGCCACATACTGGCAAACGCACGTACTGCTCTGCACTGGGACTTTTCCATTCCCACTCAACACGCTCACACTTTTCACTTGCCTTCGCCTTCTCTGTGTTTCCCACAGCGGTTTAGTAAGGAGCTGCGGCCTTATGGACCGTGCATGCAGGGATTTTGAAGCCACCTGTAATTTTCTCTTATGACCCACTGACACAAGCTCCGTTTTTTTTCTCCCTGGTCTTTCTGCCGTGTTCCTTTTCCCTCCTCGCCATCTAAATCCAGGCTGGAGCCTGTTAAAGGTCTAATGAGATTAGAGTTTATTAGACACCGAGTCGACGCTGCTCCCCATTCTCCTCTTACTGCTGACTTTCATTCTGAGGAAACAGAACACTTTCAGCAACCTTTGTGCATGCACCTCTGCTTACGCTTTTGCATTTTCACACACTTTTCTTGTGCAGATGGTAGCTAGTTCAGCATTAGTTAACCTTTACCCCTCAGTCTTAATGTGATTTATAACTATCAGGATAAGATTAAATGTGTGGTTCTCTGAAAAATTATGTTTAATGATTGTTCCTGATTATAATCAGTCACTCTTGAGTTTTTCAAGCAAGCTGAACATAAAAATAGTCTCCTACACCTATTTCCTGCAATAGCTTCTGATAGAAAATAGATGATGAAACTCTAAGATTAGAAAAGCCTGACAGATCTATGTCACACTGTCACGTAACATTCATGGACTCACCCATCTTGAGTCATGGTTCAACATCCAGGAAACATCAGAGATTGTCTCGGCTAGTCGAAGCTAACTGTTAGCATTAGCAACTCCACAATATGGCAGAAGCTCCTCCAGGCTTGTGTTATTTATGAAGATAAAACATAAACGTTGCAAAGTAAATGGAGTCAGTGGTGGAGTTGTGTTTCTGTTAGCCAGTCAGAGGTGAGATGTCCAAATATCAGGAAGTAAACCTTTAAATCTAGCCGTCTGAAGCCCTTCTCTGATCTGGTAATCTTCTTGGTGGACCAGGGATTTTTGTACCCAGAGTACAACTTACAAGACTTTAATTCCTACTAGAGACTACTGCAAATGTATTGATTAAACGAGTGAACTACACCTTTAAAGTGTCCTGTCTTTTACTGGACACAAGAGCGGGGACATGGGCGGTTTGTCAGTCTGCTGGTGTAATGCATACAAATAATATTACCTTAAGATTCGTGCCTTCTACATCCACTATCATGCATGTGGCATGTTTTGGAACGGACACGGTGAATAATAATGTGATTAGTTACACTTCTGTACAGTATAGGTTTACTCCAGTGAGTTCAAAAGACCCAGTCATGATTAATGAGCTGTCCTTGTCTCCTCATTGTTGGGTTGCACCACTCTTCGAACAAAACTGTGTGCCTTTCTTTGTCTTTTCAGGCTCTCGAGATTTTCCAGGCCAGACGTAGAGAGGAAAGACTTGTTCCATCTCTTTTTCCCAGACAGAGGGGGATGTTTTGTTTCTTTGAGGAATGCCATGAACAGTTGCAGGTCACTGTTTCTTTTCCAAACGGTGGGCTTGTCTAGTCTCGTTCCCCTTGCCAGCTCATGTTCACCTTCCTCATGAAGTATCAGCAGGTATTGCTGCTGTATGTTCAGCTCTTGGCTGTTAAACCTTAAACAGCAAATGTATTGTGGTCTGTCATCTAAATGAAGGCCTAGACTTGTGCTAATAGACATTTAAGCAGAGTTGTTCCTCCTTTGCACCTGAGAGCCTCCAGGCAGACTGCTGCAGTAGTTTTATCTTGTTGCCTGTTGTATACATTTGCTCACCGCTTGGCAGTCATTTTACACCATTAGCCTCTAATCATATTTAACCTTTTTGTATACATTTTATGGGCAAAGAAGTGTTAATGTTTGTTGTTGTTTTTCTTGTTTTTATTTAAGTAATTTTAGCACCGCTTGCTGGGTGGTCCACAAACCAAAGTGCCACATTTGCTAGCAGCCCCCCCACCCCCCCACCCCCTTGTTTCCTCCATTCATGTCACATCTCCTGCCCCATCTCTCAGCATGATCTAGTAAAGAAAGCACCCAAGACCTTCTTATCCAGAGTCCTATCACAC